GGATGGCAAAAAACCGATGATTTCCTGCAGACCAGGAGATGATATGAGCATTGGCCTCCACCTGGATGTGAACGGCGGCCGACCTTACTGCATTTGTTCTGTCCCTGGGATTGCCTAAGGGAGAACTAATTTGTTCCTGGGAAAGTCCAGAGGGGAATCTACTGGAAGTACTTCTTTTTGTCTTTGGTTTACGTGAAATCAGCATTAAATCCAAGGTCATCATTTACTTGAACGACGTGCCTTGGATGCACCCATGAAACCAGCGCTTGCGCTGTTGGGCATCGGAACTGCCGTCCCTATGCCCCTGAGAACATTGTTAGATGTTAAATTTAGCTATATAGCATCGTTTAATGACATGAAACAAACATTAACATGTAAATCAACGACTCCATATACATGCACGCATGCATGCATGCATACATGCATACATACATACAGACATACACGTACACATACAGTCACATACACATACACGTACACATACAGTCACATACACATACACATGTACATATACATACACATACACATACACGTACGTACACATACACATACACATACACATACACATATATACATATATATATATATATACATATACATATACATACACATACACGTACACGTACAGTCACCTACGCATACACATAGACATACACATATACATATACATACACATACACGTACACGTACAGTCACATACGCATACACATAGACATACACATATATACATATAAATACACATACACGTACGCACACATACAGTCACATACACATACACATGTACATATACATGCACATACACATACACGTACACGTACAGTCACATACGCATACACATAGACATACACATATATACATATAAATACACATACACGTACGTACACATACAGTCACATACACATACACATGTACATATACATGCACATACACATACACGTACACGTACAGTCACATACGCATACACATAGACATACACATATACATACCGCAATACACATACACGTACGTACACATACACATACACATGTACATATACATGTACATAAATACATAAAATTTAAATACATATGTTACATATACATATCGAATATCCTTCAACCTGGCCTTGGCGCCTCAGCCCAGGTTGAGGGGGGTCGCACGGTCTTCCCCTGCGCCACCAATGGCACGGCGGAAACTGCGCCGTGCCACCAGCTGGGGCAGGTGATGGCCCGTGGCTGGCCGATGGCGGAGAAAACAGATGGAGGGGTTTAAAGACATGGCAGTGTGTCAAAACCTTGTACCCCTGGTGAACATCAAAATAGCTGGTAAATGGATGTTCATCCCCTAAAAATGGTATTAATAGGTATTGATCCATACCCACATAAGCCTTGACGGCTTTTGATGGTCTTTGATGGTCTTTGATGGTCTTTGATTGTTTATGGTGTTTTTTTGGAATCAAGATTTAGATGGTGATTTTGAAAGCCTAAGGAAAGATTCGGAAACGACATATCACCAACACAATTTTAACATAGCAAGGGAAATAGAAGGGGACAGACAGCAGGGTGCATGTAAAAATGATGGGGAAACAAGGGAAACCCAACCAACGTTTTGGGCATGTGCAGTAGTTGAGTGACCAATGACGGGATAAGGTTTTGCAAGAAGCAAACCAGATAATTCAAACAATCATGGCTCTTCAACCAACAACCATTGTTTTATCCTCATTGACCTACCGTTTTTGCAAGACATCCATATGGTTGGTGCTTTGCCTGCGCTTTGTGTTTTCAAACAGCTCCACTTCGTTTTTTGCTGGTTGCAACCGCCAAGCAAAAGGCACCCTGTGCTCAGTGCTCTTAACACAGGCCCCTTGATGATACTTTCTTGATCCACACCTCTGAAATTTGATCAATGGCCATTTCAGGAACCTAAATTGGAGGTACCTACCATATATAAGGCTTATGTAAGGGCTATGTAAGGGGATATACCCCCCAAATATGGCCTTATATGGTACAGTACCTCCATTTTAGGATCCTGAAATTCCCATTGATTTGATATGAAACCCAAAGCGGAAAAGGCCCGAAGAATGGAAGCCATTGGTCCCAAGCTATACAACAAGTCAGTGCATGTCAGTGCCATCCGACCGGAGGACCAAAAACCCAGTTGTTTGCTGTTTGATGATTGTTGATTTCACAGATTTCCCCACAAACCAGGCCCTATGGGTCCCTAGGAGTCTCATGAACCTCCTGGAGGTTTAATGGCGAAGGGATGACAGATGATGACAGCTTGGGTGAACTGGGCGGGCTGAGGTGCGGGCTACACGCACACCAGCCATTCCTCTGCCCAAGAAGCGGGACAGGAGGCCTCCGAGCTGGTGAATCGCGCCAGCACGGAGCCTGACAGCGGACTGAGGCGCAGATCCCATCGCAGCATTATGCCACACCCCCCAGGAAAGCTTGGTTTATTACCCTCTGGTAATGACTAACATAGCTATTGAAAATGGCCATTTATAGTGGATTTTCCCATTAAAAATGGTGATTTTCCATAGTTACGTTAGTTTACCAGAGGGTATCATAATTTTTGTTGGCCCAGATGGGGAAAGAACTTAAATGAAATCCATTCTTATGATTTCTTATGTCGCAAAACCCAATGATACACATGATAAACTCATCGGAAGGGGTTTCCCCAAGCCATTCCTGGTCAAGTTCGTTGGGATCGATATCCTAGACCCAGCCCTTGGGAATCCCCTGGGAGCGGCAGGGTATCACCGCAACGCGGCAGCGCCTTCTGGTTTTTCACCTTGGATGACGTGGGAGGCTTCGATGGCTCCTCCTGGCACGGCGGTGCTGCCGTGGCGGGAGACTTGGGGATGCCCAACGGCAACGGAGGGGCGGTGGGGGTCTGGTGGTTGGGATTGGCAGCCACCAAAAACTGCCAAACTTGACAAACTCATAAGGGAAAACTGATTCTTGGAGCCGGGCGTTTAAGGGTCGACTTCAATTTTGGACATGTAACATGAGCTGCAGTGAGAACCCCAATTTTTGAATGAACACCTTGGAATTTGAAGCAAGCTCCTTCCCATGGTAACAATGTGCATGATTCTTCCAACATTTTTCATGGAGGTTTGGCACCAGGCTTGCCACCGGGGCCCAACTGCTGGCAACTCAGGAAGTGGACACTGCAGATCTTCAAGGTCTGGGGCAGGGCTATGCAGTTCAGCTCCAAAGAAACACAGAGAGAACTACAGTTCCTTTTTTAAGATTGGCTATATTGGCTCAAAAACTAGTTGTACCACACTTATCAAGAGAAACTAGCTGTAACTACTCCTCAAAGGGCCTGAAAGCTCATGCGGACCCCAATCAGAATCAACAGCATATCAACATGAATCAACATGAATCAACATGAATCAACATGAATCAACATGAATCAACATGAATCAACAGATATCAACAGATATCAACAGATATCAACAGATATCAACAGATATCAACAGATATCAACAGATATCAACAGATATCAACAGATATCAACAGATATCAACAGATATCAACAGATATCAACAGATATCAACAGATATCAACAGGTATCAACAGATATCAACAGATATCAACAGATATCAACAGCATGTTTCACCTTTTCACCTTTTCACCTTTTCACCTTTTCGAAGCTTCAGGAGATCCCCCTGCCACACCGCTCTGCCGCTGCCCTGCCACAGCGATGCGCGGAGCTGCGGCGCAGGGCGCAGTGACCTGGTGACCAGCGGAAAGGGATGAAAAGGGGGATGAACGTTGTGCAAAACATGACCTAAAAACGGAAAAATAGTGATTTTCCATGGCATTCTTGAATTTATGTGATGATTGTGATGTACGATGTTGCAAACCGATTACTGTATATCCATGTATCTCCTGTATAATATGCATTTAAGTGGCTTTGCTCAGCATTCCGCCCAAGAATTGAAGAGGTGAAAAAACGTCCGCTTTGATGGAGGACTAGCAGCTGGAAACCTTCTCAAAGACGTTAGACAAATGTTAGACATCCAAGGTTATAAAATACACCCTGGTTATTTAACATAGCCATGGAAAATGGCTCATTTACAGATGATTTTCCCATTAAAACCTCCATTTATAGTGGATTTTCCATAGCTATGTTAAATAACCAGATGGTAATATACTTCTAGATTCATCCAAGGTTTCTAAAATGGGGGGGATGCCAAACTTTCACAAAATGGCCCAGCTAATTGGATTGAACATATTTCAGTGCAATGACTCTGGGTCACCAGTCCAGCCCGTCTACCGAGCAGCTAAGATGACGCTGGGTGAACTGCGCACACAATCATGACTCTACCAAACGCTTGCAACAAAAAGTCGACCCAAATGAATCCAAATTCATCTACTATAGCTGAATCTATCTGAATCTATCTGAATCTATACATATTCTATACATGCTTAAATCATATGCTTAAACGTCTTACCTGCACCCCGAAAGATTCGTTGAAGCCCCTTGCGGCCTTGCGCTCAGGACGGGAGATCCCGGTGTCAGTGCGGTCATGGAGAAAATGCGGTGAAAGCCTGTGCTGTCCATGGTGGAAATAGACACAGGACATTTTTTACCATTTTTCACCAACAAAAATGATAAAAAGTATATAAAAGTATTGATATAACTTAAGCAGTCTGGATTTCAAAGAGGTGCTGTATGAAGCTGTATGTATTTTGGAGGGGTTGAAGGGCTTGCGGAAGCAGAGTTGGTAGTCGTGGAATCAGCGTCGCAGTTGTGTAGTTGGTACCGGTGATGGCGCAGTCATTTTGGACCAGGAAGAAAGCAGCGTTCGTGCTCGCTGGGATGGATCCGCATCGAGATGCAAACAGCATCAGGATCGAAGGACATAACTAGATACAGCATGATACAGCTATAGTAAGTAGCATTTGAGCTAGTATTTAGGGACAATCCAAGATACTTCAAGTATTTTCAAACCATTTCAAACTTATGGTGACATATGTGACATCCCGGCAGCCAGTTTGAGCCACCTTTTGCTCTGCAGATCCCTCCCAGTGAGACCTAGACGGCCCGGCCGTCACCTGCCGCGGGGCGCTTGACCGAAAGATGCGCATCATTCTGCCGGAGGCGCAGGATGGAAGGGAGAGTTTTTTTCGGTCAGTCACCACAAGGAGTTGAACAACCTGACGAGACACAGTGAAATTCCAAGCCCATTTTGGGGGTTGCACTGGCAGGGCGGGGGCAGACATTCAGTGAGTTGACACCGCTTCGATCCTCAAGGTTTTGACAAAGGTGGAAACCAAGCCGCCAACAAATGCCAACAAGATCCAACAAGCACAAGCACACACACACACATATATGAGCAACCGTAAAAACCCCGGCAATACTAAATATGTATTCGACGGACATTGGTTTATGGAAATTGATGGAAATTGTTAAAAACACGAGGTAAGCGATGGGACCTTCCCAAATTAGCGATACCCCTTTTCAAGGTTATGTCATCATATTTCTTTAATATCCATATTAGCGATACCCAAATATCACATATTATTCATAGTTCATTATATATATATATATAAATGCAGCAGTTTCCTGCAAGCGATACCCCCCAAGTTTACCATATATCATTATTGTACAAACGTGTGGTAAGCGATGGGACCTTCCCAAATTTGTGGATGTCCTTTCCGTGAACCTAGGGTTTTCACAATCGTTCATATATATATATATATACATAATAAATAAATAAATAAATAAATAAATATATATATATATAATCTAATCCCAGGTGCCAGGTGCACTCCAAAGATATCCAAAAAAATACGTGACCCCCTAGTTTTCCCCTGGCCACGCCACCACCCAGAGGTATTTCTATTGCTTTTCATTAGGTTCATCTGCTTTAACTGATTTGTTGCGAGGGCCAGAGCTTCATTTGGGCCCATTGCAGACACAGCACGCCGTGATGCGAGAGCCCTCATTGGAGTTGCCAGGGTTCAGAATCAAAACACCAAACTCAAGTAGGTGAATGTCTCCGCCTTCCATATCCCCATGTTGTTTTCCCATGTTTTCCCTCACGTTGTAGGGGTTCGCCTGGGTAGACCCCATAGCCCCATAGCTGCCATAGCCACCTGGTTGCATACTCTGCAGGCAGACACCAGCTGCAGTTGTGGTTTAGAGACCTGCGACTTGGATGAGATGCGATCTTTGGACGAAAGTTGCTGTCTGCTGTTGTGTTTTTTTAAATCGCCAAGTTTATCACAGTTGGTCATTTGTTTCTCTTCCGCCATGCGCGCACACAGATATATATATATATATGTATATATATACAATATATACAATAAACATATGATGTTTGGTTCAATGATTTTGCAACATATTAAATGAATGCAGCTGAGCCACATCCCTGCAGCTTGTGGAGCTTGACAAGGCTGTTACCACTATGTCGAGCCATGCTATTCTTATTGTGAGGTATCACACCAGAAATTTTGGATCATCCCGGTCCGCCCGGGTGTCCCGGGTATTTCCAAAATATCACAGTGATAAATCCCCCAAAAAAAACAAAAAGATGGAACCGTAATATCCTACTGAAAGTATCATACATTAATCATATATCTATCACATCATATCAGATCTAAAAGTGTTGGAAAAAAACCAACTTCTCTATATCCCTTTGTGACTTTTCACAACTGGCATATCTCCCAAAGGGCCCCCACCTTGGCCCAGGCGAGGTGTGTCATGGTCGAAAGGTCATCGGGTCCTTGCTACATTTGGAGCCGGAGGCTGGGTAGTCGAAATGGGGCAGTGACGCCGGAAGTGGTCAGATGAACCAACGGAAATGGGGATTCTACATTCAATGGATTGGTTAATTTAATGGAACCCCCATGAAACCCCCTATGTTTCCCGTAGATTTTCCCTTACACCAATCTATTGATACATGATTTTACCAACAAACAAAGGGATTTATGGGATTTGAAGTAACCACTCTAGTCGAAATGGCGGATTTTTGACCGACCAAAGTTGGCAAAATCGCAGAAGCGATGAAAAGATGTAACATGATGTAACTACTGTAATCAAAATATGGATTTTACCCACAAAATTGGGATTTGATGGATCTACTACAGCCAAAATTGATGTTTGGGCAACAAAGATGAGGATAAAACCGACGCTCCTCATGATAATGGAACCCCAAAATTGAACAGGCCCCCAAACGAAACCAGGGTTGCGGGGAGTGTATTTCATTGGGGCAAAGGGTGAATCCCTCTCCCTCTGCTGATAGATTTGATTCAAAGTCGGTAATGGGGGAAATCAACGAAGCTTCACTGATTGGATGATCCCTACTGCAACAAATAGGCTAGAATTCGACGTACATATGCATTGCAATATATGATTGTGATTGATGATGTAATTAGATATAATTAGAGCTGTAGACATATGTAAATGCAGAGATCCGTGAAATTTTCCCGGGTCTACATAATCTTCAATAGAAATACTGTATGCAACATATAATAGATCCATAATTACATATCCATTTACTAACTCCATGATATCCAGTTGATTCCAGATGGCTCAGCTGACAGGCACCATCTGCAGATGCTGGACAACAGCTCCTTGCCATGCTCCTTGGTCAACGCTGATCCTGTGGGCCATGGTGATTGAGTGTCTACAGTTGCTGTTATAAAACATGCATGATCATCATGATCTCAACAACTTTCTTGACTTTTTTTTGAAACTTGAACACTGGGTATAGTAACCCCCCAAAAAGATAGAAAAGTAAATTCCCATTCTGAAATAGTGATACGTCACTTTTCTATCTTTTTCTGGGGGTTACCATAGCTTTCGGATGAAGCCACGAGCTCCAAGGCTTCAACCCATGCAGACGGATTGGGCTTGGCAAGGCGCAGGGCGGCTAGTGAAGATGGGGGGTTCTTCATGGTTCTTCTCTCTTTTTGGGGGGTAATAATAATAAAATAACAAATAACAATAATAATAATACGAATAATACTAATTAATAATGATAATAATAAAATGGGCTAACGCCCTGGTGCCGCCGACCCCCTTTAAAGGGGGTGGGTCAGGCAGTACCAGAGGGTAAATCACCATCAATCATCAAAGAAGAAAGACGAAACAGGGAAGGCCGAAGAAAAGCATAAAGCCTTGAAAGCAGGTAAAAGGCAGGAAGGCAACAAGGCCAGCAAGGAGAAGACCTTGCCGGCAAATACACGACACGCAACGCAGAGAGGACAGAGTTTCCAATATGTCTGTCCTGCTTGCCATCAGTCAGTGATCAGCAGCATACGCACAGGGCAAGTAGATCATCGCCGGACATGCGGGAACCAATTCCAAGTGCAAGACGGTGTTGTGGCAGAGAAATCTGTTGTTTACACATGTCCATTTTGCAAGGGCCTTGTGAACAGCAATGTGAAGACAGGGAAAATCAACCATCGGGGTGTCTGTGGGTACAAATTTTCGGTACGGGACGGCGTTGTCGCAAAGAAAAGTTTTGTTTACCAGTGCCCATTTTGCAATGGACTTGTGAACAGCAACGTGAAGACAGGGCGAATCGACCATCGATCTGTGTGCAACAATCAATTTTACGTCAAGGACGGTGAAGTCAGCAAGCAGACACGGCGTCATGCGCACAGTTGCCCGGTCTGCTCCACTGTTGTTTGGTCATCGCTGTCATGTGGCCGCATTGCTGTCAAGCATGACATGCCATCGGGAAAACCATGTCACAACAAGCAGTGGCACGTTCCCGAGAAAAAGACAACGAAAACAAAAAAGAAATAAGAGCCTGCTTAAAAGGACACTGCCACGGCCTCAGGGACTTGTTGGAGCTGCAGGAAAGGTCTGCCGCGGCCTAAGTGGCGCCTGGGAGCTGCAGGGGAGGGTTTGTGGAGTTTTGGCGAGTTTTGAAGGCTGGCAAACGGCAGCCTGGGACCTCCGTAAAAGGACACTGCCACGGCCTCAGGAACTTGTTGGAGCTGCAGGAAAGGTCTGCCGCGGCCTGAGTGGCGCCTGGGAGCTGCAGGGGAGGGTTTGGGGAGTTTTGAAGGCTGGCAAACGGCAGCCTTGAACCTCCTTAAAAGGACACTGCCACGGCCTCAGGGACTTGTTGGAGCTGCAGGAAAGGTCTGCCGCGGCCTGAGTGGCGCCTGGGAGCTGCAGGGGAGGGTTTGGGGAGTTTTGAAGGCTGGCAAACGGCAGCCTTGAACGTCCATAAAAAGACACTGCCACGGCCAGAGACTTGTTGGAGCTGCAGGAAAGGTCTGCCGCGGCCTGAGTGGCGCCTGGGAGCTGCAGGGGAGGGTTTGGGGAGTTAGGCGAGTTTCGAAGGCTGGCAAGAGGCAGCCTTGAACCTCCATAAAAGGACACTGCCACGGCCTCAGGGACTTGTTGGAGCTGCAGGAAAGGTCTGCCGCGGCCTGAGTGGCGCCTGGGAGCTGCAGGGGAGGGTTTGGGGAGTTTTGAGGGCTGGCAAACGGCAGCCTTGAACGTCCATAAAAAGACGCTGCCACGGCGAGGAGGGTTTGGGGAGTTAGGCGAGTTTCGAAGGCTGGCAAGAGGCAGCCTTGAACCTCCATAAAAGGACACTGCCACGGCCTCAGGGACTTGTTGGAGCTGCAGGAAAGGACACACGTCCACGGTTTCGAATGCTGGCAAGAGGCAGCCTTGAACCTCCATAAAAGGACACTGCCACGGCCTCAGGGACTTGTTGGGCTGCAGGAAAGGTCTGCCGCGGCCTGAGTGGCGCCTGGGAGCTGCAGGGGAGGGTTTGGGGAGTTTTGAGGGCTGGCAAACGGCAGCCTTGAACGTCCATAAAAAGATGCTGCCACGGCGGGGAGGGTTTGGGGAGTTAGGCGAGTTTCGAAGGCTGGCAAGAGGCAGCCTTGAACCTCCATAAAAGGACACTGCCACGGCCTCAGGGACTTGTTGGAGCTGCAGGAAAGGTCTGCCGCGGCCTGAGTGGCGCCTGGGAGCTGCATCGGGAGGGTTTGGGGAGTTTTGGCGAGTTTTGAAGGCTGGCGAACGGGAGCCTTGAACCTCCTTAAAAGGACACTGCCACGGCTTCAGGGACTTGTTGGAGCTGCAGGAAAGGTCTGCCGCGGCCTGAGTGGCGCCTGGGAGCTGCAGGGGAGGGTTTGGGGAGTTTTGGAGGCTGGCAAACGGCAGCCTTGAACGTCCACAAAAAGACACTGCCACGGCCTCAGGGACTTGTTGGAGCTGCAGGAAAGGTCTGCCGCGGCCTGAGTGGCGCCTGGGAGCTGCAGGGGAGGGTTTCGAGTTAGGCGAGTTTTGAAGGCTGGCAAACGGCAGCCTTGAACGTCCATAAAAAGACACTGCCACGGCCTCAGGCACTTGTGAGAGCTGCAGGAAAGGTCTGCCGCGGCCTGAGTGGCGCCTGGGAGCTGCAGGGGAGGGTTTGGGTAGTTTTGGCGAGTTTTGAAGGCTGGCAAACGGCAGCCTTGAACCTCTTTACTGCCACGGCCTCAGGGACTTGTTGGAACTGCACAGGGTCTGCCGCGGCCTGTTGCGTTTTGGAACGTAGAAACAGAGATTGCTGTGGCATGAGTGGCTCGTGGGAAGTGCACAGAAATTGCTGTGGCCTGAGTGGCTCCTGGGCGGTGAACAGAGGGTGCTATGGCCTGGGTGGCTCGTGGAAAGTGCAAAGCATTGGGAACGAAAAAAAGTTCCACACCTGCGGTGGTCCCAGGCGCCGCCCCTGCCTTGGCTAAGGCAGGGGTCGGCGGATATTTGTATTAATATTAACATATATATATATATTAATATTAACATATATATATATATGATATATTAATATATATATATATGATGTACAACTACATATGATTATAAGTGACCTGTGACCCACTTGAGCAGTGACAAGGGATGTATAAGTGAACTTTATTGAACTTTCCAATGTTCGGGATGTTCAGAGGGGTGCCAGGGTCTTGACCTCGTAAATGCTTGAGTAGGGGGCCACGTTCCCATCCATTCCCATTCGCCCAGGAGAGATGGACCTCAGCCACTATGGCTATACCATGGGATATTCGGACTATACCTTTGAGCCCTGGAGTGATGGAGTGAGCGGAGGCAGCTCCCCCAGTCAGTTTGCGGGAGACGAGACCCTGATTGGACCCGATGGGGCGGTCTATGACGTCTTCTACCCATTGAAAAACGGGCAGGATGAGAAGGCGCTTCGGCATCACCGGTTTCACTGGGCAGGTTTCGGCAGTTGGGACAGAATCTGGTAAACCCAATCATGCCAATAAACATCCCCAAATCTACCAATTCTACCAGAAATAGGTTTTATGAACCATCCCCGAATGCTAATAACGACAATCCCCAATATATAGGTGCTAGAAACATCCCCACGTTAATCTTCCTCGAGGTGTGTGGATGTTTCCTCTTGCGTGTTTTCGATGCCGTTGATGCCTAGTGACCTAGTGCCTCGCTAGTTGGCCGTGTCAATTCGCCAGCAAGCACTGGAATGATCTTCACGGTCATATCAGACATGGCAATGGCCGAGGCATGCTGTAATTGCCAGGCCATGTTTCACTAGTCATTAATTGTCGTGCAAGGTACTTATACCATTCGAGAACCTAGAACTACAATGAACTACATGGCAGCAGAGGGTGCCCCATTTTCTCCATTAAACATGACATGTGTCATGGTCAAAGCTACTGCGCTACTGCGCGGTAAATCAGGAAGAGACCTCGACGACATGCAGCGACTGCGCGGGAGGTGTCCAGTCGCAGTGGATGATGGTTATCCCCAGGTTGGTACAGGATGGGGCCCCCCAAAATAGCGTTCAGTTGGTTTATAAGTGGCTGAATTCTATGGTTTATGGTAGATATAACTATAGTTAATGGGGATTATTTCATGGTTTATAAACCAACTTATAAATCTTATAACTGGGGGGCCCCATCCTGTAGGTGAATGGGTGAGCCATCATGAACCTTTAGTGTTTTTTTGGCCCTGCTTGGATGGATATGAATGACTGGCTATGGGAAAAGACCCAGCTCCCAGTCGGAAATTGTATAGGGTTTGTGGAGGGTGTGTCTCGATGGACGATTGTGATCCTGACTACTTTCTGGATCTTCTGATAAACAAACATTTGCAATGGAACCATCTACGAAGATGCAAAGATGTGTGTATACATGTATGATCTGTATGGTCAATAATTACACATACATATACATATGCGATGCTAGGGATTTTCCGTTACATTTTTGAACCAACCGGCCGGAAACCACCAACCAGCCATCGCCATTTTTGTGGCAACTGTGCAAGCCGTGGGCCAGGCAGTCCTGTAACCATGTCACGACAGAGATCAGCCGAAGCAAGTATCGCAGGCGGCACAGCTCGGGCAGACACACTCCTGGCAAAACATGTGTTGGAGAATCATCCAATATCCGCAAATGTATATATATATATATATATATAGAGTTATATGGGTCAAACATACAGACATACACACACAGATAGATAGATAGATAGATAGACAGATATATATATATATATATGTTTGCTTGCATCCATGTAAGCATGATTATGTGCCGCCCACCGGCAAGCGAGGAAGGTCATTTTCTCATCGGATACGTGGTCTAACTGGGATACTGAGTTACTTGTAGCTGGGATTACCTTTGTCACAAGGAAAGAGTTGCCAGAACATATCACCTACCCCAATACTTGGAGGCTTACCCTCTGGTAAATCAAATGGAAGTGAGAACTCCATTGCCCACGGAGAAACCAACTATATGAATCGATGTGAATGTTTTCCTTTTGATTGCCAAGTTACTTAAAATGATTTACCAGTCGAGCTTTCATTGGCCCTTCTTAGGGTCAGTCCCCTGGCCGGGAGTTTTTCCCATTTACAAGGGGTCCAGCGGCTATGATGTATTTCATCATATGGTTTTGCAGTTGCAACTTGGCTTATCCCATTTGGAAATGTGTCGTAACCTTGGCTAACCAGTTGGCCCCTTTCCCACAGCTTAGATCTCATTTGAGTTGCTTCAAATCTCGCCTTTTGCCCTCATATCTTTCTCCTAGCTAGGAGCTGGTGAACTAGTGACCATATGGATTTCTATTTAATTATATCATGCCATATATGAACATCTTACTATTAATAACTTCTCATATCATATGTATGCAATCACACATGGTTTTTCATCTTGTCATCCCATTGGGTCCAACCTGGGTGAACCACTTCCGCTGTCAAAGGCGTCCTGGATTTCATGCGCTCAACCGCCCTGGCGCGCTACCCTGCGCGCGTGCAGCTCTATGAAAAGGTGTGCAGTCACCTTGGCAGAGACTTTGGGGATAGGATGATGGTGGGATAATGCGGCTGAGCTGTGGGTTGTTGGCGATGATGATGATGATGATGATGATGATGATGATGATGATGATGATAATGATGGTGATGCTGATGCTGATGCTGATGATGATGATGATGATGATGATGATGCTGCTGCTGATGCTGATGCTGATGCTGATGGTATGATGAACGCTCTATAGGAGATGTGGCATGATGTGGCTAAATCCACCAGGTCAGTCTGGATCAACAATAACCAATTCATGACCCTGGATGCCTTTGGAAGATTACATCACATGCAATTTGACAGGTTCAAAATCAACATAAATCAACACTTCCGGACGCAGACATTTTCTCAATCTCCACTGCTCACTGGCGGGATCTAAGGTGCAGCAAAGATGTCCTTGGGTGTGCATTTTGGAAGGTGCACTGGGATGTCGATGGGGGGTTCTTGCTGTATGTCCAAAAAATGAGGGACCCGAAAAATCAAAGCAACAACTGGTAAGTTCATGATTTCATGACCTACTTGTATCATCTTGTATTTATTTTTGAGGTATATTGGGGAATCATGTGGAAACCAAACCCAGGCAAATGGCCCTAAAAAGGCCTCCATTAGACCTAGCAGCTGTCACAGGATGGCATTGATTGGTAGCACCGCCCTGCGGATCGACACGCCTGACTCTGACCTGGATGTGGTCGTTTACACCTGCAACTTGGCAGATCATGGCAGATCAACTGCGGCGGCAGAAGCTCGTGGGTGGTGAGTTGAAGTTGGGCGAACTTCGGCTTCCAAGATGGTGAGTTTGGAGAACTTCACCTGGCTCATTTGGGATATATTTTGTTTTTCTTCCAAATTTGCCTAGGGTTATCATCCTGACTATGTCATAGTTGTTCGTATTTTTTTGGTGAGACAACCAGATCTCGGTGCTCGCAGTTGCTTGGGTTCATAGCTTGGCCCCTTTTCCCGCCGGTCTCCAGCATGGCGTTCCGCCTGACCTACCGCCGGCAGTGCCGCTACAACACCAAGTCCAACAAGCAGCATTTGGGCTGCACTTGGAGGATATGCTTGGGGGTGCAGTTGGGGTTGTCAATGGCTATGATTATGACCCTATGGCTATACATCCACTATACTGGAACTGCACCCTAGGTGCAAGTGGCAGTTTGTTCTGGGGTGCTGGGTGCCCCTCTGATTTGGTGGGAACCTCATGTTCGTGGAACAGCCAATCCCGCCCGACAACGAGATGAACGGGGTAAAACATCGTAAAACCATCTAGACATACCAAGGCCTTCCGGTGGTCCTTTGGGGCCCGGCCCCGGCCTCCGAGGCGAGTTGTGAAGACCCCTGGTGGCCGCGCGGTGTTCCAGACGCTCACCAAGAAGGCGAAGGGTCCTCACTGCGGAGACTGCACCTCGGCGGCACGCAGGAGCAGCCAAGGGGTGAAACACCCCTTGGCCCTGCCAGGGATAGAATGAAGTGAACAACATTGAACAACCATCCCCAAGCAATGCCTTTTCTCATCTTTTCTCCAAGGGATCCTATTCTCCCAGGGACACATGAAATGAACAAACATCATCAAACATCAACCACGTATGGTAGTCAAGGCCGTAATCTGCCGAAGCTAACTGATATCTGTTGGGGACAAGGCCTGGGTCTGGTTGAGGGCTAGCCACTTAACGTCCGAGGCAAGAAGGCTCTCATTGGCCTCCCTCGTTTGCGGCCCGTCGAGTATGCCAGGCGGGGTTATGGGATGGGTGCGCGCGAAGGTGTCTCTTGAGCTTTCGCCTGTCAACAGAAAGTCACAGGGATCAGATTCATAACTCATGACGCAGAACGGTTCGTCACTGTAAAATATACATAATATACTATAATATACAGCCCTCCAGAGCCCGAGGACAGGGCCGCAGTTTCTGCTACTGGATCCGTTCACGTCAGGGGGTAATCCCAGCTCTGGCAAGGCTGAAGAATCGAGAGAAGCGTGTCAACCGTGCCTATGGTGGATCCCGCTGCGCGAGACTTGCCTGATCGTTGCGATGGGTGGAGGTTAGTTGCAGAAATGAGGGAACTTATATAAAATAGTATGATGTATGCAATGTAGCAGCGGCCCCGAACCACCTCGCCATACTCAAACTTAGGCAAATCCTGAAATTAAATTGATGGCCTTTGATGGCTTTTGATGGCCTTGGTACAGGTCCGAAATTCTTTGTACAAGAGCCACAAGGCCCGATCACAATGATGGTGATGATAATGACGATGCGGCTGGGGATATGGAGTATTTTTTGACATGACTCACTGCCAATGCTAGTCCCCCAAGTGGAGGATCCCTGCATCTTTGGACCCACATTGTCGCCGGGTTCACACCAAGGAGCTGCGTGCGCAAGCGCATCGTGCGCGCCTTCCTCATCGAGGAGCAGAAGTGCGTGAAGCAGGTCTTGGCTGAGAAGTTGTCGCAGGCGAAGGAGAAGGAGACTGGAAACTTTGGTCGGAGAAATTGGTCCTTTTCCCAAACTTTTCCCCATGTTTTGCAGGTGGTCTTTAAGGATTGTTGGCCAGATCTTTGAATTTAGATTAGATCAAAGAAGGATTGCAAAGGGTGGTATCCTCCGGGAATATAGTTTGGCAAATGAAGCGCGATGTTCATTGCATGGATCATCTACACGGCGGGTACATAATTTCCAGTGTACCATTTCTTTTTACTCAAGGGTTTCACATCCCTATCATCGTGCTTCCTTTTTTCATCCACACAGCCCAAACCTCAGGAAAGACCGGAAAGAAGAGCAAGAAGTAGACGCTGAGGAGAGGTCAACTGTTGGGCTGATGACCCATGCAGCTTGCGGATTGGAGGAGAAAAAGAAGAGGTAATCAGTGATCAGTGATCAGTGAATAATTCTGGGATGAGAACAAGGGTCCTCACATTTTGTAATAGCACTTTCTATGTCCCATCCTACCTGGTATGATGACCCTCACGGGCTACTTTTTTGAAGGATGGGTTGAAACCACCACATTCGGGCAATCTAACCTGGCCATGACAGATCACAACTTTGAACCGAGGATTATCATCAGATGGGTCAGATGGGTGATTTTGCATCGCCAGCTTGCCATAGCCGGATAAAAAACTGGCAGAACCATGGGATTTTGACCCCTAGAAGTTGGGATATAACTGATATTAACTTATACTCCTATACCTACGGTGAAATATATCCACAAACACAAAAAATCAAACTGTGCTGATTTATGGATGATTTTCTCATTAAAATATATTAAAACATATTAAAACATATGAATACCTCCACTTATTTCCCATGAATCTTCCCATAACTGGAACCGCACCCCCGTTCCCAAGCTCTGTCCTCACAGCTGCGTGGGTTTACAGCTCGGCCCTTTCTTCTTTCGCCGGTCTCCGCCATGGCGTTCCGCCTGACCTACCGCCGGCAGTGCCGCTACAACACCAAGTCCAACAAGCAGCGTCCGGGTTGCGATGAAGAAACGGGGCCCAAAAAAAATGCGGGGAGCATGGTACTAATGTGGCCAGAAAAAAGCCATGAAGAACTACTATGAACTACTAGCATTCATCCAATGCTATAAAGACCTACCATGCTTGGCCATGATGTGTACCATCTATGGCAATATTGGGGATGGTTTCTCATTGGCAATAGTATGTTGGTACTTTCTGGAAAGGCATCATGGCAACATACAGCCCCATTTACATATCCATGTTGCAGAGATGATTTTTCGGTTGAATTTGGGAGGGAGTCATATGATATGACCAAGTGTCCTGCACATCCAGTGGGCATGTGCTGCTTGGAGATACAGTACATCAGTTGCTGCTGGCCATAGATGCTTTAAGCCAGACTTTAAGCTCCTTCTCATGCTGCAATCAAAGTTCAGTAGCATCTGAACTCACACTCACAAATGGATCAAGACATAAGAGAATTCCGCCACCTTCAAAATTCCCAGCTGAACAAAAACCACTTATTTTTGGTGTTTTACTTTACTAGTAAAACGATCCCTATTAGTAGATGATTTTCCCATGAAAACCTGGTGATGAGCATCCCCGCCATATCCCTGCCATCCCCGGCCTCCGAGGCGAGTTGTGAAGACCCCTGGTGGCCGCGCGGTGTTCCAGACGCTCACCAAGAAGGCGAAGGGTCCTCACTGCGGAGACTGCACCTCGGCGACACGCAGGAGCAGCCAAGGGGTGAAACACCCCTTGGCCCTGCCAGGGATAGAATGAAGTGAACAACATTGAACAACCATCCCCAAGCAATGCCTTTTCTCCAAGGGATCCTTTGAAGGATGGGACACATGAAATGAACAAACATCATCAAACATCAACCACATATGATAGTCAAGGCCGTAATCTGCCGAAGCTAACTGATATCTGTTGGGGACAAGGCCTGGGTCTGGTTGAGGGCTAGCCACTTAACGTCCGAGGCAAGAAGGCTCTCATTGGCCTCCCTCGTTTGCGGCCCGTCGAGTATGCCAGGCGGGGTTATGGGATGGGTGCGCGCGAAGGTGTCTCTTGAGCTTTCGCCTGTCAACAGAAAGTCACAGGGATCAGATTCATAACTCATGACGCAGAACGGTTCGTCACTGTAAAATATACATAATATACTATAATATACAGCCCTCCAGAGCCCGAGGACAGGGCCGCAGTTTCTGCTACTGGATCCGTTCACGTCAGGGGGTAATCCCAGCCCTGGCAAGGCTGAAGAATCGAGAGAAGCGTGTCAACCGTGCCTATGGTGGATCCCGCTGCGCGAGACTTGCCTGATCGTTGCGATGGGTGGAGGTTAGTTGCAGAAATAGAGAGAACTTATAAAATAGAATGATTTATGCAATATAGCAGCGGCCCCGAACCACCTCGCCATACTCAAACTTGGGCAAATCCTGAAATTAAATTGATGGCCTTTGATGGTCTTTGATGGCCTTGGTACAGGTTCGAAATTCTTTGCACATAGAATATCCAGAGAAAAGCCGCAAGGCCCGATCACAATGATGGTGATGATAATGACGATGCGGCTGGGGATATGGAGTATATAATCCCTTCCTCCAAAATAAACACCTCAGGTAGTTTTTAGTATTAGGGGGGTATTTATTATTAGGGAACCCTATTAATAACATTAAATTCTTAATAATAAAAACTATTTTTTCCGATCTCAAAGTCTCAAAATCAATTAAATTTCCTTATATAACGCAATTAAGATATAGCCAAAAATTGGATTTCGAAGCGGACCCTATTAATAAATTTAAACCGTTAATCATCAAAACAATTTTTTCCGATTTCAAAATCAATTAAAATCCTTATATAACGCAATTAAAATATTGCCAAAAATTGGATTTCGAAGCGGACCCTATTAATAAAATTAAAGCATTAATAATGAAAACTATTTTTTTCCGATTTCAAAATCAATTAAATTTCCTTATATAACGCAATTAAAATATTGCCCAAAAAATTGGATTTCGAAGCGGGCCCTAATAAGAAATTAAAAGCCCTAATATAAAAAACAAAAAAAATCGGACGGACCCTAATAATAAACACCCCGGGTGAACTAGTTTTTATTATTAGGGGGCAAAACCCACAAATGGTAGCTTTATTTTTAAATTGTTTTCTAAAGGGGATCAATTAAAAGTCAAATTGGCCAATCTGAAATTTTCCGAAATTAGAGATGGACCCTAGTTTTTAGTATTTGGGGGACGTTTAGCAATAGGGGGAAGGGATTATTTTTTGACATGACTCACTGCCAATGCTGGTCCCCCAAGTGGAGGATCTCTGCATCTTTGGACCCACATTGTCGCCGGGTTCACACCAAGGAGCTGCGTGCGCAAGCGCATCGTGCGCGCCTTCCTCATCGAGGAGCAGAAGTGCGTGAAGCAGGTCTTGGCTGAGAAGTTGTCGCAGGCGAAGGAGAAGGAGACTGGAAACTTTGGTCGGAGAAATTGGTCCTTTTCCCAAACTTTTCCCCATGTTTTGCAGGTGGTCTTTAAGGATTATTGGCCAGATCTTTGAATTTAGATTAGATCAAAGAAGGATTGCAAAGGGTGGTATCCTCCGGGAATATAGTTTGGCAAATGAAGCGCGATGTTCATTGCATGGATCATCTACACGGCGGGTACATAATTTCCAGTGTACCATTTCTTTTTACTCAAGGGTTTCACGTCCCTCTCATTGTGCTTCCTTTTTTCATCCACACAGCCCAAACCTCAGGAAAGACCGGAAAGAAGAGCAAGAAGTAGACGCTGAGGAGAGGTCAACTGATGGGCTGATGACCCATACAGCTTGCGGATTGGAGGAGAAAAAGGAGAGGTAATCAGTGATCAGTGAATAATTCTGGGATGAGAACGAGGGTCCTCACATTTTGTGAAATACATGAATTAGCGATCTTTGGGGTTGGCCCCCATGTTTTGCAGGTGGTCTTTAGGGATTGGCCAGATCTTTGAATCTAGATGGGCTGAGATTTCGCTCGGATTTGCATAGATACCAGAATCAATGGGGTAACTGCGCAGGCCTGGCGAGGTGTAAACCAACATGGGGGGTTTTAGTCAGCACGGGAAGCGTATGATATATCGACATGGAGAGAGGGACAGACAGTGTGAGGTTTTTAAACAATAGTGGCATGATTAATAAAGGCTCATTGTTTTTCATGGCGCATGTCTCTTCCCATGCATGTGAGGGGTTTCCTGTCACCAATATTCACAACTCAGGAAAGAAGAGCAAGAAGCAAATGCAGTGAAGAAAACTGATGAGCTGACGATAACCCATACGGCTTGCGCGCGGATTGGAAAAAGCGCTTCAGTGCTCAGAGCTTTTGATTCGGTGCTTCACGGTCCACCACTTTTCGAGCATTTCGAAAGGTTTCTGCCACCAATTTACCTCAATCAATTTTTTGGGTTTCGAATTTGGACCAAGGATGGTTTTTATTTTGCTCTTCAAGACATTTCTTCATCAGAAATGCAGCCCTTCACCAAGGCACAGATGATTCGGAGCCTTTGGATCCTGTGGACGCACTGCAGAAGATCGCAGAGTGCCTGAAAGAAGAAGAGGACTGGAAGGGGACGCCTATACAGGATGGTGCCCCCCAGTTATAAGTTGGTTTATAAACCCCATTAACTATAGTTATATCTACCATAAACCATAGTTATGGGAGTTATAAACCGACTTAGCTAACTATGGGGCACCACCTTGTAGGGGCCTAGAAAGGAAAGGTTGGGACCACACCTGGATTGGCTACACACTGTGGAGTCATTGGCGCGCCATGGTTTCCAACCAGATATTTCCTTTAACTACAGGGCTTGATGAGTTAAACGCATTTGACTTGAGGATGACTCCGCCCCCACAGCTTGTAGATCTTGTAGCTGAAATGTGCCCTGGCAATGGCTGGGAGGCATTGAAATTACAGCTGGTGGATTGTGCTCGCGTGCCCGTGCTAACTGTGTGGCCCATCGCTCAGCTCCACAGCGTTTCAGCATGAATCCAATCCCGAATTCCTATCATTCTACGTGGTGTGTCATTGTATCATTCCCATCTCTGTTTGTTGTATCCATAGTCTCTTGGTTGAAACATGCAACTATGTTGCCAATGAGGTCTGAAGATGGGCGTCTGTCTTTGGAAGCTTGGCAGGGTTGGAGAGGAGCGTGGCAAAGATCCTTGCCGTGCGTAACGTGGATGGATGCGTATGGAAAATCAGAGGTCTGGTGTAACTCAGGCTGCTTTGCCACCGACATTGCAGGGCAGCATGTTGGGTGTCAATGGGTCTAATTACCTTAGTTCGAGCAACCTCAAATCTTTCCAAAATCAGCACCGAGCATTCTAGAGCAAAATGGTTCCCGACAGCCACAGTGCTTGCCTTTCCGAAGGGCGCGCGCTGAAAGTAAAGGCTGAACCCCCAAATTTGCACACTCAAAATTTCAAACGGACTGAAGATATCAGAAGATAGCAATCATGAATGGTAATCTAAGGCCCCTTCCAGGGGTTCTCTGGTATTCTATGGTGGCTTTATCAAGGGCTTAGCCTCAGCGGCCTGAAGATGAGTTTTGAAGAGCCTGAGGACCTCACAGTTGATCAACCCTTGGGCGAATGGCATGTGCCTCCTGCCCGCACTTTCGGAGCTTGGATTTGATTCGCCATGAATTTGGGAAGCCTCATCACAGGGATTTGCCCAACTCCCCCAAAGCTGACCTTGCAACAAATACAGGTTTGTTAACTACCAACAACCGCAAATAGGGGCATATTAATTGATATATATATATATATATTATATATAATAATCTATTGCATCAATTATTGGTCAGGGAAGAGATGGAAAAAGTTGGAAGGAACATCGGCGACCAGGGCATACGCCCCGAGATTTTCGCCCAGGCTTTGGTTCCAAAGCCTCTGGCAGTGGGACCCCTTTGCGGCTCTGCCTGAGACGCTTCCGCCACCTATTGGAGAGGACTGGAGCAGCAAGCAGGGCCTTAGTGTGCCAGATGGTCAACAGGTCTTGATATATACAGCATACATTGATATACATTGGAAATCATATGGTTTTATAACATATAGTGATCTGTGCACCTATGTTGCAACATATGTATATGTATATATATATACATACACACACACACACACATATATATATATATAATATGCATGGTGATATATATATATATATGTAACTATATCCATCTATCGAATCTTATCATATCATATCTTATCTAATCTAATCTGATGTAAGCCAAGCTAAGCTAAGCTAAGCTAATTTATATATCTATATATCTATATATCTATCTATCCATCTATCCATCTACCCATCTATCCATCTACCCATCGATCCATCTACCCATCTATCTATCTATCAAACTATCTATATAACTATCTCAATATCAAACTATCTAACTAGCTAACTGTCTAACCATCTAACGATCTAACAATCTAGCTTTCTAAGTATCTCACTATCCGACTATCTCACTATCTAACTATCTAAACCTATGTCATGAACAGGACCAGTCACAGCTCGAGGTTTACTAAACCTCGCCGGTTCGATTCACGGCCAGGATAAGGACCACTGGTCCTCTGGACTGGAGGTGCACCGGTGCGAAACCATCACTGGAGGTGAAGTCATCCATGACTGGATAGATTTCATGATTCCATCAATGGTTTATCCATCCAGAAATTCTATCCATCTAATTACCATACAAAAATGACCCAGTGATTCGATTAGATGAGAGGAATAGCCCAGATAGTTAGATTAGATTAGATGGTCTTGAACATATTGATGATTATTGATGATACACCATTTGGATAATTATCATAATATTGATTAAATTGTTTTTTTTTTTTTGGGGGGATTTTCCATGAAATAAATCATCCAGCTATTGGGGTGCACTCCATGCTATGGAAACCCTCCAATGGTGAAAGATGTAAATTGTAGGCAAAATATGGTCAAATCAAGTCAAATCATGATCCCAAGGCAACCTTTTTGTGGTTTCCTCCCAATGGACGCCGTGCGATGTGCGATTTCTCTAGCTGCAAGGGGTTGGAGTTAACGTGTAGACATGATATGGAACAGCTGAAATTGAAGACCCAGCAAAGAGGAAACTATTCTTTTATCAAAATTTGTTCATCCCCGATGCTTGAACATTTCAAAATCATATTCAAGAATCCTATTTTGATCTATTTTGTGCCATCCAATTTTACTCCATACCCATCAGTCATCATCACCCTTCTCGTCCGGCACAACTTCTATGTATATAATATATATATATATCATTGTTTATTTATCATATAGGTTGATATACATCATGATAGATTGATAGCCATATATATATATATATAATTGATAACCACACACACATATATATATATATACATACATATACATCTATTATCTATCATTTATACATTAATTATCATATATTGTCTCCAACCTTCGGCACCTGTTGAATACCCAGGCAACTGCCCTGCGCTGCATCAAGTGGTGGCTTCGTCGTAGAAACATCCCCGTCTCCAAGGCGGTGATTTTTTCTGTGACGAACAAAAAAACCCAAAATCCAATATGGACTGGGAAAAATAGGTAAAAATGAAGCAACAATAGGTTTTATATCTGGCTTTTAAATTGCAAAGCCATGGATTGTGGAAACACAGATGTTCATCTACGTGTTTAAGACGGGTGACATGGGGTTCGAGATGCGAGAGGATTGTGTAACCCACACATCCTGATATCGTGCTACTTTCGCTGATTGACCAGCTGACCAGCATCCGGTTTTTCAAGATCAACGCCTGAGAAGTAGTGAGTGGGATGATCAATTCAATTTGCCAACACTGCTATAGGGTATAGTGTTGGTAAAGCAATAGCAAACGATCCCCCAAAAATTACCATAAATGGGTGGTATAAACCATATAAACCATTAAAATATGGGTGGTTTATTGCTTTACTAACATTGCCAGTCTCAACCACACGTCCCAGGCGTTTGAATCAGATCTGCTTTACGGCACAGTTCCCCCCTGCCGCAGGAGGGTGGATATCCAACGGTGGTTTGGACCTTGATGGTGCTACATGTGCCTTGGATCCTGGCGCAGCTCGCAGTTGGAGATGAATTTTTTACCCATTCATGGTACGGTACTATTGTCAATGGATTGGTTGAAGGGAAAATCTTAACCGGAAACCATCGATTTTCCCATTCGATATGGGGGTTTTCCTGGAGATTTTCCCTTGAAGCAATTCGTTGATATTGGGCATGATTTATGATTGGCTTTGCGAAATTGATCCTTTTTGTTGATGTTTGGGCCCAGAGTTTATACAGGGTTTTTTTGGCCATCACACATATTCTGTAGGAAGTCCCCCTGTGATGAGGGGCCCTAGTGGTCATGGGTTATCCATGTCTCCTCTTCACATGTTTGGATGTGAGGTTATGCGTTGCTCAGTCTTTGTGAATGAGGAGGGCAAGAAGGCTGGATGGCATTCAGGTTGATTGTTGTGTGACGTCCTTGTCCCACCTGTTGATCACTTTCATCCTTCACTCATCAGTCTGCTTTAATTGTCCTGATCATGATAATGATCTTCCAGTCTCTTCGGTCAGAGCTCATTCCTGTTGATCAAACCTCCATTTGTGTTGGTTAAGCTTCTTGGTGAAATGATTTCTGTTTGGCGTGCTGGCAGCTACAACCACTTATATACCGAGGGATGGAAGTTCCATAGCTATATATATCCATAGTTACCCTCTGGTAATTTAACATAGCTATTGAAAATGGCCATTTATAGTGGATTTACCCATTAAAAATGGTGATTTTCCATAGTTTTTTGTATGTTTACCAGAGGGTATACTATGGTTATTGCCCAGCCCCTTCCTCCGTTCCTCCCCCAATCGCAGGAGCAGGGCCACCGGGCGCTGTTGAGTGCCATCGCGGCCTTCTTCGATCGCTTCGCGGGCTCTGGACTCATGGGCACCCTGTGCTTCTCGATGGGCCCTGCACCTTGGCAATCTGTGTGGGGGAATCTCTTGGGATTTAGCGATGAAAGCTGCCACAAAAGGGACATGAGGAGACATGAAGATGATTTTGAATATCGAATGATATTCTCATGGTCAGTATGCAGATGTATGAATAACTGAATAACATTGAATAACCATTTTGTTGAAATGTGGATCAGACTTTGTGCACCCACCTCTGTGAAAATAAGCCACACGACGTCATGACGTTGTCCTGGAAGCGATGAACAGCATGACATCTGTGAAGAGTCGCTGGGATCACCTACCTGGCTGAACCTCGATGGTTTCCAGCCGCACCAGGATGGAGTCAGTTCTGTCTTTCACCCTTGCGAGGAGGGACAGGCCGGGCTGTGGGCGGCGGGCGAAACCTTGCGGCTGAAGCGCGCAATCAAAAGTTGTTGCTGCAGTGTAGTGGGGCAAATCCCAAAGATTGCTTATTTTGGGTTTGGGAAATGTTCATATTCAAGAGTTCTTTGGGATGATGATTTCATCGAAAATCTACTGTGCATGTGGTCCCATCATCAGCTATAAAGGTGTCCGATGAAATTTGCGCTGAAGAATGGCGCGGATTCTATGGGTCAATTTGCTTGACCTGCTGAGGTATTTGGTGCCGTATGGATTGATAGGGCCAGAATCAATGAAGATGATGGGTTTAGTTTTGGCTGTTTTTGTGGAGAGAATGGGAGGATGGCGATATTTGTATGAGCAGCCGCCCATGCGAATATATAGAACACAACTGATGGCGCTGGACAAAACACTACAGATCAATCCTCGCAGTGATGTTTGTCCCCAAGTCAAGCGAGGTCCCGATTGGCGGCGGGCTTTCACAGGTGTTGACGCAGCTTCTACTGTATTTGGATTTTCATCCACTGCAATCGCTAGTTATTAGTGAAGAACTATGGTTGCAACTTAGGTATAAATGTGAGAACGCCACTCATACAAGGGACTATATAAGTGTGACAAAACCAATCACTAAAAACAATCATTCATATATAATTGCCCAATTTCACCACTCGTTGTTGTTTCTCCCGGTAAAAATCCTTCAAAACATGGCTAGCCATGGCTAGTCACATTTCTGACTGCTCCTGGGACCCTGGGACCCTGGGACCCTGGGACCGAGCCAGGCTTTGATGGATTACACCTCTGAAACGCCCGGCTTCTTGGCCCCAGCTTGATGCCGACCTCAGCATGGTAAGGGCGTCCTGGTTCATCCTGTTCATCGCTATCATCCCAATCTTTTGAAAGATCTCACCCTAAGCAAATATGTGTCTATCATTGTCTATCCGGATGATATCCTTTATGGAATTTTGGACCATTCCACAGGTTCCTTTAGAATTTTAAAGACTTTTTGGACCATTCCATTTCAACAGGGGATCGAATTGTAAGTGGATTTCTCGAAACTGACAAACTACCCAAAAAAAATCCAGAAAAATCGATTCTGATTTTCAAGTGACTTTTCCAGGAGGTGCCTTTGATGTCATTTCCTACAGCCTTCCCCAGGTTTCTCCGTGCTGGACCCCACCACCACCTGTGATCTCAGTGTTGCGTATGGCGTGGTGCCATCGGAGCTGGCTCCGCCGCTGCCGCCGGCCACGCGTGGGAAATCCCAGGAGATCCCAGGAGTTTCATCAAAGATGGGGATGAAACTTCCCAAATTTTGGGATACAAACGCTATACCCTCTGGTAATTTAACATAGCTATTGAAAATGACCATTTATAGTGGATTTTCCCATGAAAAATGGTGATTTTCCAGTTCGCTATGTTAAATTACCAGAGGGTACACGCGCTATAAATTATGGGGACAGATGATCTTGACAATGGTTTAGCTGTTTAGCCACCACATCAAGGAGTTGGGAGGAGATTTGCTGCCACCGGGGGGTGTTGATGGGAGGAAAAACAACGATTCAATTGAGTGGCCTTTTCTCAAATGATGATCACTTTCTTGGCACTCATTCTTGGTCACATATCCACTTTTATTTCTCCCTATCATTGTTGTGGAGGTGACAGGCAGTGATGCTTTCCCATGTTGTCCTGCGCCGCCAAGGGGCCACTTGGCTCTGGCCCCCACGTAGCCAACATATTTCAGCAGCAGCAAATCATAGATCCAATTTGCAGAACGAGCTGTTGAACGGTTCACATCTTTTTGGACCACTGCTTCTGCGAGGAGCGGTTTCAAACTTTACAATCCTCTTCTCTTTACTCCTTTTTTTCCCTGAAGATTGATCCCAGATTGATCCCAACTTGCCGGCATGTTGGTTTCACTGCCACAAGCCAACTCAACATGTTTGCAGAATGATCGGGTTTCACCCACAGTCATCCAAAATCGTTTTCTTTTTTTTCCGCCATGGATGCGTGATTGATCATGGCTTCTCAGACGCTGCTGCTTGGCAATCGGACCACCACCTGGGATCGGCCGCCCTTGGCATCGGAAGCCCTGTCCCGCACCGCCACCTTGCTAGAGTCAGCGCGAGTGACACAAAGTGCAATCCTGCCTCTTACAAGGGCCAGGGCAGACAGTGCAGGGCTGGTGTCAGGGCATCCCCCAGCACAGGTGCCTCCCACAACCCTCCAGGAGCTGCGCCCTCTGCAAACTGCGCCACTTGTGCGCCTGGGGACATGGAGTGAAGCACCACAAGCGCAAATCGTGCCTGCGTGGAGGCCGCATCAGGCCAGTGGTGATCCAAAGCTGGCCACTGGCCTTGCAGCATGCGGGACAGGAGTTCCGGTGTCGGCAGTGAGGTTGGCCCCTGCCCTGCAACGTGCTTCCACCAGCGGGCCTACTGCGGTGCTTCCCCTCCAACGTGCTGCCACAACGGGGCCGCCGGTAGTTGCTATGCCAATGGCACCAGCGCCGGTGCAGCTCCAACGTTCTGGAACTCTGACGCTGGACATAAGGTCACAGCCATCCGTCAGAGGTGTCACCTTGCAGCGTGCGCCGAGTTTGGTGGTGCAGAGCTCACCAGTACCAGTCCAAATGCAGGTGGTGCCCTGTCAACTTGGGGCTGCAGTCCGCCCCGTGCAGGTTACTCGGGTGGCTGCCAAAGCGCCCTTGAGCCAGGAACATGTGCCTGAGATTGGGCGGCTGCTGCTGCAATCAGCCTTTACGGTGAAGGAGCAAAAGCCTAAGCAGCTCCGGCTGGTCGTTGCCGGCCTCATGGGCTCGGGCAAAAGCACCATTTGTCGCATGTTGAGGCATTTGTTCCAGGGCTGTTGGATCAACCAAGATGAATTCAGCCACCTGGGCAAAGGGGCAAAGAAAGCCTTTCTGGCAGCGATCGAGAAGGCCGCTGCTGATGAGACAGTTCCTGTCTTGCTGGTTGACAAGATCAATACCATGAAGCAGCACAGAGAAGAGATTGTGAATGCCATGAATCGTGGCAAACCAGGCGCATCTTCTTTCTGGTTTCATCTTGTTTCAGCTCCAGTTGGATCGTTGTTGGCGGGGTAAAACCATTAGGAAACCATCAGAACTGGTCATCCCAGTAATCCCATCCCAGTCTGGGGCCTTATGACTTGGCCATACTTGGCCCCTTATCCAGGCAGGTTTGAAATATGGTACCCCAACATCTATGTAATTAGTGGATATTAGTGGTTTATCATCATTTTCCCATTGACATTGCCATACATTGGGGGAACTAAAATCCCGTTCATACCCCCAAATCGTCATTTTCTTGCCATCAAAAACATACCTACTGAACTCCCATTTGATACCCTGAATTAGCTCCGCATTGGTGCTATCCCCCGGGGCCCCTTGGAATCCCCGGTGAGGCAACCTGGTCTTCATCCAGGTGAAGCACCCGGCGGACGGCGGCCGCTGGGACCAGACGTTGCGGCTCTGCGAGAGTCGCATCGCCAAGCGCGGCGAGGGCCACCGCACCCTGAAGGCTTCGCCGCAGTTGCGGGGCATCCTACAGAGGACGGTGACTGGGAAGCCACTGATGGATGGATGGGAGATTTTGTTTGAAAAGATGTTTGAAGTTCTTATAGATCTGTATAGACAAATGCAATGGTTCTTGGAGTTACCAGTGTCTAAAATACAGTAATTAGAAGCGATGTTTGGGTGGGAGGGAAGTTGAGAAGCAGCGTTTTTATACATTTTTTGGCTAGTAGTTTCCACTATGATCACCAGGGATGGGTGTAAAATTGACTGGATAGACATGGATAGACATGGGCATTTCGCCGGCAAATAGTGGGATGACATTTGAAGAAACCAAGGATCTGACCTGTAGTTTCAATTTTCAATTAGTTGCCTATCCTTTACTTATTTCCAGCCCCCAATATGGGATGATCATCCCCGCCTTTGACATTTTCCAAGGGTGTGGCCTTTTTGCAGCAACGAGGTCAATTCGGCAGAGGCCATGGACAAAGATGAACTCTCCAAGTTCCGTGGGGTGCTGAAAGTCGACATGACTCAGAGCTCCATTGTTCAGATCATGAAGCTTTTGAGCGACCTGGAGGATCTGGATGTCTTTGGCATCGACATGGAGGTGGACCAGTTGATGGGCGAAGAGCGGCTGCTGCAAGCGTTGCATGCCGCAAAAAAGGTGGAAAGTGACCTGGCGGAAGCTGGGAAGTCCAAGGAAAAGCCCACGAAACCGGCCGCAACGGCCCCCTGGTACTGGGCCTTGCAGCTGGAGCAGGGGTCCTCTGAGAAATTGCTACAGGCGTGGGAGGGTTCGGAGGATTATGTCACGGCATCCGCTTCTGGCATTGAAAGCAAGTCGGAGCACCATGTCACCATGCTTTACTTGGGCGGTGGCAAGGATGAGGAGGTGGCTGCCAGGAACCCACGACTTTCCGGGCCACAGCAAGTGGCTACACTGAAGGAGGAGTTCAAGCAGCGGCAAGGTGAGGCACTGAGTCTGGAGGTGCCCAGGATTGTTTGGGAGGACGGTCGCGTTGCAGCTGCTGCTGTGGTTCTGCCAGACCAGCTGCGGCAGCTTTGTGCCAACGACTTCCCTCACATCACTATCGGCCTCGCCCCGCGGGTGAATGCTGTGGTCAGCAACGAGCTGCTGGCGCGCTGGGCCGCCACGGACGATCTGCAGACGGGACTTCAGGCATGGTTGCGGCAGCTCAGCCTCCAGCAGTACGGGCCCCAGTTGGCGCGCTGGTGCCAACAGATGGGTGCCGCCACGCCCGATGAGCTGGCAGAGTTCGCGGTGGATGCCGCGCAAGCCGTTGAAGCTGACCAGGAGTCGCAGGAACGGGTGGCACAGGTCTTGCAGAAGGCGGTGCAGAGGCCGATTCACGAGTTGATGTTTGATAGTCCCTTGCAGCTGACTGCTTTGTTGCAGGGTGTTGGGAGAGGCCAGTGAGACGGGACAAGCGGCAAGCCAGGGTAAAAAGGTGCTGATGGACATTGAAGTTTGAACCTGATTGAAGAGGCTCCCAAAAATCTTGGGTCTGAATTGGAACCTCACCCATTTGGGTCATTTCTTGGTCTCCATCTTCTCGGGCACACCACAAGTTGATGACCTGAGCCATACCTTATCCATCGCCTGCTGCCGGTGGGTAGCAAAGCTTGTAACGGTATTAACAGCTGTTAATAATTAACAGTCTACAACCTACAAAATTGACAATTAATTAGTGGGTGCTGAGGCTATGTCCAACCCATAACCAGCTCGAAGGATCATCCATAATATTTGCTGCACCATCCTCGTGAAGTCCTCCATTCCTGGGCTTATCCCAGTGGTGCCTGTGTTGCAATTACTATAATTAGATATGATTAGTTTCTGTAATTACTCCCATTGGCGCATTGGTTATGATCAATTTTTTCTGAACGTGATGCAAACCCAGCTTTTGGGTCTAGAAATCCTTTAAACTCTGGGTCCTTTAACCAGGGATGAGACTCCACATGTCCTTAAGTGAGTTGTGAAGATTCTTCTTACCCTCCAGACCCAAGGCAGCATCCAATTGTTTATGGATTCAATCTAGATGTCGGCTGGTGTAAAACTATGTAGAACTATACTGTAGATGTTTTCCCAAGCCTTGGTGTGCAGACTCAATCTTGTGCCGTTTGACGAACACACTTTTCAATCTTTTGCCATTTTACCACCTGAACGGGGAAAACACACAGGTTTTCCTGGAAAAAAGTTTGAACAAAAAAACACATATTTTCCAAACTTTGGTGGCTCAACATGGCTTCCCTTCCCATATTTTCTGCTTCCAATCGATGCCGAGGCCTGCTGCACACCTACGAGTTGCAGCGCGCCCAGCGCTACAGCGCCCTGGCACTGTCCCCAGACGCCAGTGCCGGCAGTGGAAGCGAGGCGTTGGAGGCGTCCGGATGCCATTGGGATCTTGGCATGGCTTCATGATCTAAAGAAATACCTCGAGATACCTGGAGAATTCATCAACATCAATTAGCACTGAATTCACGCATCAGTTTTTTTGGTGCTAAACTGGATCAACACCCCCCCAGCGTCATTAAGAATAACATTGCATCTTCTTGCAGGGTTTCAAAGATAATCTGTTAGTACGCAAACGACCCGCAAAAAGGGCCTTGACCAATTAAGAATGAACAAATATGAAGCGATATGAAGCGTATATCGAGAATTGTAACCCAGCAAATTAGCACTGGCAGCCCGTTGAGGCTTGCAAGCAGCCCTGAAACCCACTGGTCCTCCTGATTTTTCTGAAGTTGATACATGAATGGAATATGATGGAAATGGCGAAGAATTGGCGACGGAAATCCCCTTTTCAAAGCTGGATCCTCTGACATCCGATTTATGGCTGCCCTCCAGTTGCCCAGGACCCATTCCCAATTTTGTGGATCCCGCCTCCAGGAGTTGTTTACGGAGACTTCCACCGCCTGCAACAGCATGCCGACGGAGCTGCCAGTGCAGACCACGGCGGCAGCTTGTCATGGTGGGATGGTAGATGGGTCGGGATCACCGGGCGCCTCGATTTCTATGGCAGGAATATACTTTCCCACTACTCTCTGGTAAACTAACATAACTATGGAAAATCACAATTTTTCATGGGAAAATCCACTATAAATGGTCATTTTCAATAGTTATGTTAGTTTACCAGAGGGTAGACTCATTAGACATTTGCACACTTTTTGATCTTTTTGTGGGGGGCACCTGGGGTACCTGGGCTACCTGTGATCAGCCGCGGGAATGAAACTACACATTTGAATCTTCTCCACATCCTAAGGTCATTGTTCTTCGTGAGGGCGAGCTGGCGATCGGCCTCCTCACAAAGGCCTTCTCGAATAGGGGACATTTGGATACATTTGGCACGAAGGCTGTATTTGGTGAGCTGATTTCAACTATATGTAATATATATATAGAGTATACATATTATTATATTATATTATATATATTATATATATAGTATATATATATATGTGAATAGGATTTATTATGGCAATTATATAATTGCAATCCTCCCTGGGATGATCCAAATTGACTTTTTTTTTCTTGCGATGATTGGGATGCAAAACCATCACGAATCGTTGGGATCACTATCTGCAAGAGCATCACGAATTGGAGCATAGCATATATGCACTGCCCATGAAACTTAAAAAAAGCAGTCATTTTTCAAACCTGATTTTTTCTGAACATTTCTGAACATATGTTTCCAACTCATTCTTTTGACCCCCAGGCCAGGTTGGACACACCTTTCCCGGGTGAAAAAGACCTGGTTACAACATGTTAAACACATGTATTAAAAAAAACAATGAACATCTATAAGACAAATCATGAAGAAACAAAACTTCAACCTATGGATGTTTAATTAATAATATGAATTTAATTGAATTTAAACGTCCATTTTACACAGCTCTTCGGACAGAATTTCCCAACCGGGACATCCGTGGATCAGGTCTCGCCCAAACGTGGCTGGACGGCGCCCTTCCTGCACCGCCGCGATGCGCAAAGCGGCTTGGCCTTGCAACTCTGCGAGGTGCCGTGGGACGTGGGACGTGGGACGTGGGACGTGACATGGGGTCCCAGAAGCGGTCCCTTTAAGCATTTTTAAATCTTTTTTGATGTGTTTTATGATGATGATATACACACACACACATATATATATATATATGTATTATGTATATATTTAGAAAATATAGATAACTTGTTGTTCAAATTCTCTGACCCAAGCTTTGAAGCTCAAACAGTTCTAAGACTTACTTTCAAGCAGCAATAACCATGAATATATTTGAGAAATGATGCTTGTTGTGGGTTATGATTACGCCCCAGGTCATAGCCATTTATCAGGCATTGGATGATTACTGCAAACCCACTTCACCAACCAGCATTCACGGGATTGACGCCAATGCCAAGACGGGGTTGAATCGAGAATTTAGATAAATCAGAGAGAGAAATGAAGAGAGAGAGAGAGAGAGAGCATTGAATGTAATTATAACGCCACCAGTTCGTAACAAACATACGGGGATCCATAGCGAATCTCAAAGAAAGGTTGGTATTTGGGTGATTCCAACCCGTAGGACGCCGGAGGTCGCCCCACAAACCCCATGAGTTTCAGACTGGGCCCTGGTAGGTGCGCGAAGGTGACGGACTCCTGATGCCAATCTCCTCCAAACAACATTGGTTCCTTGCACCGGGGGTGGGGTTGGCTGCATAGGGTGGATTTATCCACCGTTGGACTTAAGATGTTTCTCGGCAAATATTGTGGAACCACAAGTCGAATTGGCAATTGGGACGCTTCATTCTGCAGTTTGCAAAACGTCTAAGATAGGGGTCCGGTGATGAGAACATGAAAGCCATTGCGAATGGGACAGGGTCAGGGTCAGGTGAGTCATTAAAACCGCAGTAGTTCCTGGTGATTGCTTCAAGGGGGTTATGAACAGCAACCTGCCTGGTTTATTGAGAATGTTTTTGGTAACCCATATTAACCCATGATTTTCCTGGATATTGATGGGTACCTGATGCCAATCAGTATTTCATGGGATGGCTCACCGCGCTATTGTTCCTGGCTCACGGCGGTGCAGGTTTGTCGCCTCTGATGTGGTTTGCTTAGCGGCACTGCAGCCGGTGTTTCTGCGAGGCTGTCCTCGCGAGAGCTGCCCTGAAGTCGGTGCTGCCAACGTACAAATTTGTTCCTGTAAATATTGTTGTACAATGTTTTACAAGTGCATATGATTTATAATTATATATATAATTATATATATATAATTATATATATAATTATATATAATATAATATACATATATATATATCATTGATTAATGATGTATGATAATTACATCATATATTTATATGCATATATACATAATATTGAGTATAATACGTATGAACAGTATTGAACAGTCCTCTCATCATGGATGAGGTTAACACATCTAGCTGAATTTACTAACTGAAAGCGGCCAGAAGGAGTTCTGCAGCAGAAGCTCCGACGATTTTCCGACGCATTTCAGATCACCCTGAGTAGCTTACGAATGATACTGTATCATACTGTATCTCTATATATATATATATATACACCGTAAATATACTACATATGTAAATGATACATACTGATTAACACATATGATATAATGTATCTATAGTCGAATAGGGTTGCAGAACACACACACACATATACATACATATATATATATATATACATACATACACATATACACATGTATATATATATATATATTATATCTGTCAGTGTGTGTGACCGTGTCGTCAATGCATACATGTTTGCACAGGAAACCTATACACGTCTTCTGGGGAATCCAAAGGCAATTTCGGATCCCTAACTTGGCAAAGTGCTCATCGAGCCAAGCCAGTACAGGTTTATCCCGTCGCAGTGAAGTAGCTGCAGTCAACGTATCCTACCCTCACTGGCTTGATTTTAAGGGAAAATCTAGAGGAAACCAGACCAGTACCCAGTGATAGCCCCAGGTATCACTGGCACTGGGATCTGACCATCTTTGGGGGTTCCAGTTGCGCGCCTGGCTCCCTGTAGGTCAGAGCAGAGGGAAGCACCTCCGACGAGAAAAGAATCGATGGAAAGTGGACCCCGAAGGCCAGAGCCATAGATCATCTCGGGTGAATTTTCGAACAGGCATGGTCGATTTACCAACATTTGTCCACAAAAAAATATTTAAAGCATTCTAAACTAGATTCTAAAACATCCAAAACATCCAAAACATCCAAAAACATCATATGAACCCACATTTTTGGTGGTATAGATCCTGTTACATCCCTAATCATTAGATCCATTGTACTTTTGGATCCCAATGTACACTAGAGATTGGATATCCCGCTAGATACTAGATACTAGATATTATTAGATCCAGTTATATACCACCCATACCTTCGTTGCTTAAATCCCAAAGTACTAGATGAGATTCCATTGAACGTTGCTATCCAAGCAATAGACATTATATATTATGCTAAATTTGGATAGTTCAAACAGCGGCAATATCACATATAACATCCCATTCCATAGATATTGTGTAATACAATCTGCAATATGTACATAATACACGCACAAACACGCAGATAATATATATATACATATACACATACATACATCCATCCATGCATACATACATACATGCATACATACATACATACATGCATGCATGCATGCATGCATGCATGCATATATACATATACATATATACATATATATTCCATTTTAATGTCGGTAAAACAATCATCAAACATCCCCCAGGCATCACCAAATGGATGGTCGCCAGGCTTGGAGAGGTGGCAACGAATGCACGCCATCCTCGTGCCGGAGCCGCGTTTTTCCACGGGTTTTGAAACGGAGCATGGAAGGGGAAGATCGCCAGATTATGGTGATTAATGGTGTTTAATAGGGATTCTATGGTGATTAACGGTGATTAATGGTGTTTAATGGTGTTTAATGGGAATTCAATGTTGATTGATGATGATGAATTGTGTTTAATGGGAATTCAATGTTGATTGATGATGATGAATGGTGATTAATTGGGATTCTATGGTGATTAACGGTGATTAATGGTGTTTAATGGGAATTCAATGTTGATTGATGATGATGAATGGTGATTAATAGGGATTCTATGGTGATTACCGTAACGGTGATTAATGGTGTTTAATGGGAATTCAATGTTGGTTGATGATGATGAATTGTGTTTAATGGGAATTCAATGTTGGTTGATGATGATGAATGGTGTTTAATGGGAATTCAATGTTGATTGATGATGATGAATTGTGTTTCATGGGAATTCAATGTTGATTGATGATGATGAATGGTGTTTAATGGGAATTCAATGTTGATTGATGATGATGAATGGTGTTTAATAGAGATTCCATGGTGATTATATTCTGATTAATGGTGATTAATGTGGGACACCCAATGCCATAAACAACTACCATTTTAAGGGGATGGATATGTTACAGCGCACACACACACAGATGCTTTGTAACACACACCACACATACTTACACACACACACAGAATGATACTCAGGTACTTGCATGTGGATGTATATATATATATATATTATACATCTGTGTGTGTGCGCGCAGAACCTGGCGTTTTGGGTAATTGATGTCGTCAGTATCCAGCAAACCCTGTGAGTCCTTCATCTCACAGGATTCCCCACAAGAACGCATTGAATGCGCTGAGGCTGGTGAGAAAAAGTGAATCCGAAAATCCGAAAAAAGATATCGCTGAAAATGAACCCAAAAAACAAATAAAGAAAGCGCGAGCAGAAGGCAAAACTTCTGCATGAACGCCTGCAAAAAATCTTCCAAACAATTAAAAAATGCAAAGCTTCAGGTCAACAACTCCGTGCTTTGGAATGTCGACTCAACTGTGCCCATTTTTTCAGAATGATGAATGACAAAGTTGGTGTGTGCTTCGAAGGGAAGATTGGTAAGGATGATTAGTCAGCTTGTTTTGGACAAGGTCTTCTCTTTTCGTGGGATGCTGTTCGGCACAGTTGTTGGCCTGATAGCCGCTGAGGAACTCTGGCAGAGGGTGGCAATGCAAAATCAAAGCGTCCAACGTACAATTTTTCGGATAGATTGACGAGTCAATTGTTTCCAATTACTGTAATGTCGTTGGTTGGGCGAATTCTGATTCGACTCTGAATCCGGACTTGAAGTTTTTGGAACCAACGGACCAACCGCATTCCGCTCACAAGTTTCGCAGGGCAGTCTGCTTGCTACCTGGCTTCCGAGCCCTGTCTGGCACAGGGGGCTATGCCACTGCCTGAAATGCACTCAGCGTGAAACGATTCCTGGGGGAATAAAAATGCCTCGCCGGAAAAAGTCCCCGCTGGTGTTTTGTATTGCCAGGTGCCATCACTAGCATGGCATGTAGTCACGATCCTTTGATTACTGTATGACTGTGTCCATTAATGAGATGGTAATGCTATCGTCATTGTTATTCCAGTTGGTGCTTTCACTTGTGTTCATCACTTTAAATCACTACTTGGTCATCAATTAATCCTGGCTGAATCATATTTTGGCGATGGACTAAAAACACCAGCCAGCCTTGCACGATCATTCCGAATCACACCAACCACATCCCCACGGTTACATATGTTTTTGTTCATTTTATTGGTACCCCGACATATGATTTTCCAATGTAGACTCATAAAGCTTCATAAACCCCAGACTTGTCACAACATGTTGTCAGAAAAGAATTCACCAGCGGGAGGGCTTTCGGCTGCACAGACAAGCTTAGACAGGTGTCAGAGCGTTTTTTTTGACACTTAGGATTGGCACGGGGCTTTGAGTGCCCTTGAACCATGCTAGCCGTGAGATAACCAAAACACATCAACGAAGTTTTGCCTCCATAGATTCTTCTTGCTTACGTACACGCGCAGGTTGCCCACTGCAACATACTGCAACCGCATCGTTGGATCACTAGAAGCTCCTTTAGGATGCTGACATGAAGGGAGTTCAGCACTAGCCAGCTGGAAATCCGGGAGACACCTCACCACTTTTTTGAGCAAAACCACCCAGTTAAAAAGTCTGGTAAATGCTTTACGCTATGTTACATGACTGGTTGAAGCTATGGCTAGCCCCTGCATCGGTGTAGAAGCCTGCTGCGAAACAGTGGCTTTGGAGTTTGGAAAATGGGTTTCCTAAGTTGGAGGCATCATCCAGTTCCATGTTCTGTTGAATCAAGCCAATGAGTAGATAGGATGCATCAACAGTCCGAGACCTGTCTGTGCCCAGATGTTCAGATTTGAGCCATTGGGGGAGCTTCCCATGCGGGTGCGTCCCGCTTTCTGCCGTTTTGCGGAGCCCACTCAGCCGTGGGATGGGATCTGGGGCCTATGCCCTAAGGAGTCAATGCTTCAAGCAGCCAGCTTCGACAGCTTCCTGGATCCCATATGTTTCAGAAATAGCTGCCTGATCCTGTGAGTCCCTCACGGGTGGGGCAGCAAACTGTGGCGGGATATGTGTGGTCTTGCAAATCACGACCATTCACAACCGCTTTGGAGGAAGACCTAGTTAAGCATTCAGAAACTATTCAGAGCTATGGCAAACTCGTGGAGTTCGTTCACCAAATGTTAAGATATGTTAAGTTTCACTCAAGGAACCTCTTCAATCTCAAGCTGGATGATGTTTCAATCTGTTTCGTTTGCTAGGCCTTCAACTTGCTTCCAACAATTTTCCGCGGTACCAGGGGACGCCCTCGCACAGGCCAGGTTGTCATTTGGTGCTGCGTAAAGCGCGCGCATTTGTGGTGGAGTTGGATGCCTTTTTAGGCACCAGCCGGTTTTGAAGAGCACGAGCACGCAGCAGCGCCTGAACGTGTTCCGTAAGGCCGCATCTCTCCGGCTGGAACGGAATAAACCCCTATCCTAGTCCGAGGTGCATGAGGCTTAAGTGGATCAGTCTGCAAGGTACATGAAACTACTCGATATGTTGTGCACCACCATGAGTTGAGTGGTTTCACACAATTTTATGACCCTGGTATTGGACCATGCTTTGTCCATCCTCAAGGGGGCTTCTGGCTATGGTAGGGTCTGGTCCGGGAGACTGACGTCCTTCATGGGAAACCCTCAGAAACTCGTCGACTGCAATCCGCGGACAGCCAACGAAAAGTCGGGTGCGAGGACTGAGATGATTGGGTTTTAGTGCCACCCAAAAAGATAGAAAGGTACAAGTACTTTTACCAGGAATTTAAGTGGGATTCCACTTTTATATACATTTTTTTTGGGTTGCTTCAATGAAGCCCTGGACTAACGACACTAGCCCGCCTTGGTCTAAGATTGACTAAGCAGGGGGTTAACCCCAGAAAGTGAACATCTGCTCCCAAAATGGTTGCCCCTCAATTTTACAAACAGACCATGGGTTTACAAATCTAAATCTAGGTTGGCATGATATCAAGCTTATATACCCACCTAACCTCGAAGTAGCCTTTGTACATATGGAGTGAAGCACTCGTTCGCCCTAATGGTGCTGGAGCGGCTCGGCATTCTCCAACCATTCTGTTGATTGCAGTAAGGTCCCATCCTACAGCTGGATGATTCATGTGGGAAAGCCATGGAAAGCCAATATGCCATAAGCATACCATTTGCGGGATGGTTCATACCACCCATCTATGGTGAATATTGGGGATGGTTTATTGATGTTTATTGGGCCCACCAAATTCATCACATCCAATTGACCAATGTTCTTCGGATAGGTTGCGCTAAACAGGCAGCGGAGGCAATGAGAGCAGGGATTCCTGGCTTGCAGTATTCGCACAGCGTTGCTGTGCGCCGCAGTTTTTTACTCTCATCCACAGCATTCCATGAGCCTCCCAACCGTGGACCCAGACTCCGATCGAAATTATGCAGAGGGTGAGGCTGAACAGTAGGATTTCCATGGATTTCCCATTCAGAGGTCAGGATTTCTACATTGTCTCTTCCCAACCTGCCATGGCAATCCCCAAAAACTCGTGTCATGAATGATTCCTCAAGTCATAGAAAGTAATGCTGCTCCGATGCCGCGGTTCGCAGACACTGGGAGCGGGCCAATGGGAGGCCGGGGCAAAGTCGGGGGACTTGAGAGGTCTAGGCTAGGTGTTTTGTGTAAAACAAGTTCAAAAGCACAAACAAAAACATGAAGAGTCAGCAGTCAACAACTGGGGATTTGGACACCATCCTACTTAAATTGCTATATGGCTAGTAGCCAGTGGTTCACCCATCTAGACTTGGGACATAAACATCCCGACATGGTCCATGTTTACCACATGTTGCCACAAGCCACCCTGGCATAGCCCGAAGGCAGGAAGCGGCACCTTGGATTTCGGGATGGGGTGGGCTTTAGATGGGGCTGGAACTTCGCCCCTGAAAATGTATATAGAACCCGTTGAACATGGGGATTTAAATGGCCATTTGGCCATGTGAGGTTCCTGCGGCTGATTCTTGTCAATGATTTTGCTTGCCACTTGTAGCTAGGGCCGGGCTCTACGGCGCTGACCATGAATCCTAGACATGGCAATGACATGGCAGACCCTGACAGGACATCCGCAGTTCCCAACCAGTTCTCCGGCTGAGGGGCTGATCCCGAGGTATGACACCCGTTGACATCCTTGCAGAGCTGGCAGTGGCTGCAAATGGCACACTCCCATCTGTTGATGCTCGGGTGTCTGCTCTGCAGGCTCGGGCTGTGATGGTTACCGGTGCGGGATGGGTGCTGGATCCATTGCCATTTTAAAATTATTTAAAAGGCGCTTTGGGTGTTTTTTGTGGTTCATGCTGGCTTGCCAGGTTGTTTTTTTCCTTTTTAGTGTCAGCTGATATGTCTGGGCAGAGGACTTGCCTTACTTGGCTTACTTGCTCTGAGATGCTCCGAGTATTCGTTCGTCTTCCTATACCGCCTATACCTGTCTACCAGTCACTACAAGTCTGAAATCTGGATGTACATACTGCAAATACAGTATACATAATGTATGCCATATGCATATGCGATCATATGCGTGTGTTTGTGCCTGGGGCGCCACAGGCATTGGTGGAGCCAGCTCGAAGAGGCTGGACCCCAGTATGTTGATTTTTTTTCCATCAGCAGTTGTAAAAACTGAGGTGATGTCACCCATTTATATAAACCTGGTTTAACATATTTTAACTACATATACTGTAGATAACCATAGATAACCAATTTAATTGATAGATATCTTTAGGTGTGAGTGTTTTACTACATTTTATTATAGATATCTTTATTATAACCATCATTTGTATATATATATATATTATATACTGATAGTATGTGTATGTACAAGCCATGAAAATGTGGTATGGCCCATCCCCCTACCTACCCCTCCGCAGAAGGTGATGATGGGGCGATGGCTGCCTTAGCTGGTAGTGTGGAGGAGCTGGCTGATCAACTGAGGGTGCAGCCCGAGAGGTTGGGAAATGTCACATTTATATATTATATATACATATATATATATATAAATATACTCCTCTACATGTGTATTTTGTAATTCATCTCTAGGCCTTTTAGTCCCAATGGTTCAAAACCTTCGGAAAGCGCTGGTTTAGAAGTGGCTCTCAACCAAGTGGGGGCCCAGATGAGGGTATTTAAAGGTAATGGACATTAGGGGCAAGAGCCCAGAACGGGCAGGCTTCGCCCCCATTGGAATGGGAAGAGGGATCCAAAGACTTCAGAATCTTCAGATCATGAGTGTTTTTACATGGTTTTTTTACAGAATTGCCGATATTTTTTTGTTACCAAAGCGCCATCATGTTTGCAAAAAGAGGACTCAGAACTGCTCGTTGGAATCCCCCTTTTTTGGCCTCCAGGACTGGCACGCCAAAGTCCGACAGGCTGCATTAGAGGCCTTGTCCGAGGCAAGTGGTCTTGGTCTGCGATCA